GGGGGGGGGGGGGGGGGGGGGGGGGGGGGGGGGGGGGGGGGCGATGGGTGCTGCTGGGACTGCTGTGGCTGTTGGCTGAGCAACAAACTGCTGTCTTTTTACAGTACCTTTAGGCACAATGGGGTGGGGTGTCTCCCTCTGCTTAGCCTGACCTGCTGTGTTCTCCAGCAGCCTGTATGGATGTTCCTGCTGCGCTGTGGGAGGTTCAGCAGGGGGCGCTATTGGCTCCTCTGACACCGGAACCACTGGAGGTGAGGCAGAGCCTTGAAGCAGCACAGAGAGCTCCTGCTTCTTCTGCCCGTTATTGTGCCGCTGAATGAGGGGGTTCTGATTCACCTCCACCAGTTGGATGTCTGTCCCCTGCCTTGCTGAGGACAAGTTCCCTGATCTTGCGGTAGTCCCTCAGAATGAGAGTCACCCTTGACTGTGCCCCCTTGCCTTTTCTCCTAGGGCTGGTATACAGAACACAGAGCCTGATAGAAATGTTCTCCACCAGCCTGCAACAGTCTGGCCACTGAGCTGGTGCACTACTTGCACCCAGCACGCAGCTGATTGTGCTCTCCACACCAGGTGTCTTTGAGGGCGTTTGGGTGTTCTGCCGAAGCGACCACTCAAAAGTCTTTCCTGGTGCCGTGCTGCATAAATGAGCCGTGTCTTGTCTCCCTCATCAAGCTTGTTCCACAGCTCGATGATCTGGCTTGCCTGCTGATTGCTGAGGCCGAGGGATGTCAGATCACGGAGGCCAACCAAATACTCAGCAAGTCTGTCAACATGCTGGTATCCAGGAACATTCTGGTCATCAACAGCCTGTTGAAATTAATTGGAACAAAATAGAATATTTGAAATTTTAAACACTTACATTACAGCAAGGATGATTGTTGCCTTAGTTTAAATAAATTACGTGTAATAACTAGTACCGTGGTTTCATCCTCAGCCTCAGCCTCAGGAGCCGGCATCGAGGAGATGTTGTCGGCAGTGAGGAGGACGTCTGCTGTAGCAACGTCGAGGTGGTGTCTCGGACCACGGTGGAGGAGCAGGTGTCATGGACCAGCATGGAGGATGACATTCCATGGTCCTGCTGATCCAAGTGAACTGTGGGGTCATGGATGATGTCGGAAAATCCCTCATCTGCCGCCACATCATGCTCCTCAACCAACATCATATCTCCTCTGTGTCAGGATTCATGTCCTGCAATGCCTGACCAGTCTGCCGGTACAAATACTGCATCCCTATGAGCTCACCTGAGAGAAGAAAGATAAATGACCACAATGCAACGGGCAATGCCTAAAACCTAATGCTGCTCAAAAGGGTTTGTCTATCACCCCATATGGCTATAAGGATCACAAAAAAAATTAACAGTAACTGCACATATAATCATTTATAAAAATCAGTCATTTAAAATGACAGATGCAGCCTCATACTTGTCTCAATAGGCATAGTTACCGTGATGTAGTTCTTACCTGAGTACCATGAGGGTCGATCCGCTACACCTCAGTCTGAATGTTCTCCTTGAGTCTGTGTAATAAAACCTAAATAAACCCTAGATAACACAAAGCGCAACTACAACCCTGAGAAATGAAATGATGGATGAAATCAACACTGCTGTGTTTTTACAGCAGATAAATCTTATATTTATGTTATTGTGTTTTGACTTGTCTGTATAGTGATGTCACTGTTTGGTGTCACTGTTGGAATGGATGGAACTCTGTCCATTGTGATCCCACTTTTTAATATCATTGTGTTCTTTGTGAAGTCAGTCTGGTCAGTTTGGTGCAGTTGAATTTGCACTTGAACAGTAAATAAGCTGTTCACTGTATTTTGAAATTCAGGTCATCATTTATTGAACTGGCAAAACAAATGTGGATTTCAGTTCTGCTGCCATAATGCTGAACAGGACAAAGTTAAAAAAAAAAGGATAGAAAAATACATTTTTAAAAAGGTCAAAGGTCAGGAGCCGCTGTATTTGAGGAGACAGCTCAAGACCATTTGAGGACTAAACTAAGAGTTCAACTAGGAAGTGTCAAACATATTCAGGCTCTAAATTTTGTCATTTTTATTCTGTTTTATGTCTTTTTTACTCCATTTTTGGCCTTTTTTAGACTGTTTTGGTCTGAAAAATTCACCTTTTAATTTGATTTGATCATAGCTCAAAATAAACCAGCTGGTCCCAAACAGAGAAAACAAATTCACTTTAGCCCAAATTATTGTTCTAATTATATTTTTCTCTGATTTTCCTAAACAGTCGAATTTGTTGTTCAGCAGATGTTAAATAGTAATTAATAAGTCGTCCCCCAGCTCAAAGTGACTGTTTTCTAAAGGAGGAGGTCTAAAATTATCCCACAGCTCTGAGTTCCAGCTTTTAGTCAACATTTATCAGCACAAAGTTTCCCTTCATTTTCTAAATATTATGGAGCTCATTTCCATTTTGGTATAATCAGTAATCTGGATTGATCAGACCTGCTATTCCCTCTGCGACCACAGGGTGGAGCTATACTGCCACATTTATCCCAGTTTGGAGTGAAAAACAGTTAGTCATCTGATTGTTTACTGTAAAGTCATACAGAGGGATTCAGAAAAGAGACACTTCTATCTACTGGTGTTTTATTGGAATATTCTCTGTTTATTTGTCTAAACCTGCCACATTTCCACAATTATCACTAATGTGATCAGATTTTTGGGGGGATTGGACTCACAAAATAAACAATTGTCTGTTTTTTCTTCATGTATGTGGAGCCTGATGTGTTTTTCTTTGGACATATTCCATAAAATGCTGAGTTTTGTGAATTTGAATGAGTGTTTATATATTTTTGTATTTTGATTTGATTATTACCGACGTCCAGTGGTGAAAGTGGTGACCAATTTCACCACTGGGTCAGACCAGGATGGCGCCTTCACTCTACAGTCCCAAAAGTTGGCTTCCTCTGGGTTTGTTTTTGTCAGCCATATCAGGACTACCTGCATAAGCAACACTTTCAGGCTTCACAATGCTTTTGATAGTAAAGAGAGAGATGCTGGAAAGAGAAGAATTGGGTCATGGTGTATAAAGAGTGGTTCCCAACAAACAGGTTAAAATGCTCTTCACAAAGATCTGAGGAGGAGGATCAGACAGAGAAAGGAAAGCTGAAGACCATCTGAAGGTGAGAAAGACTGCAGGCCTAGTTATCTACACAACTGGCTTTTCTTTCCAGGTCATCATGGTCAGATGTGTCTGATTCAGACACCAAGTTACGGATCATTCTAGAAATGTCTGGAAACGTGTTGAATGCTGGATGGGCTGACCAAGTGGTGAAGTCCTCTGCTGTGGAACCAGGTTCCAGTTTGGGTCATGGAGGCAGAAACCGTCTCTATATTTAAGAGTAGGCTTAAGACTTTCCTTTATGATAGAGCTTATAGTTAGGGTAAGTCCACCCCTAGTTGTGCTGCTATAGGCTTGGACTGCCGGGGGATTTCCCATGATGCACCGAACTCCCCTCTCCTTTCTCTCTCTCCCTCCCGGTGCAACCTCATTCCATTAACAATGTTACTAACTGGACTCTCTCCCTTTCCCGTAGTCGTGTGCTTTCTCGTCCTCCTTCTCTCTCTTCCTATCACTTTCTGCAGATATTCCTGGCTCTGGAGCTGTGGGGTCTGGATCTGTGGTTGGGAGTCTCCTCCTATCACTTCCTGCAGGTGTTCCTAGAGCTGTGGAGTCTGGATCTGTGGTTGGGAGTCTCCTCCTATCACTTCCTGCAGGTGTTCCTAGAGCAATTACAGCCACTGTGCATAGTCTTATTGCTATCATTACTGCTATCATTATCATTAGTATCAATATCTTTACTATTTTTCATCCAGTCTGTGTGTTACTGTGAAACACTCCGTCTATCACCCC